CACTGTCAGAGGGGCACACCGTAACGACTGTTCAGACACTGTCAGAGGGGCACACCGTAACGACTGTTCAGTCATTGTTGTGCTGTGTTTCAGCAGAAATTTAGTATTTTTAAAACGATATCCCTGAAGTTGATATAACTCCAAAAACATTTTTCTTAAGCCCGCCTTACGTGTATCCACCTAACGAACTACAAGGTTAAAAAAGGCTATGCTAATTGACTTTGGGAACCTTATAACGCCCTCTGTGGAGAGCTGTCTTGTACTCAATTACAGTGACTCGAGGAAACCCCTGGTTTCGCGGTTTCTCTGCTGTGAGTTTTTGTAGTCACCCATTAGATCAAAGTTTCTGGTGTTTTCGGTACAGTATCGTGGTAATTAGTATTTCTGAACCTAGTTGAATTTTTTTTTGGAGAATGAAGTAGTAATTCTACGGAAAAGAATGAGCAACATACGGGAATAATGATTTACCATTAACACTAGTACAAAAACCCATACCAAGGATTCTGTATGGTCTGGTGTAGGAGGAGGTCGATGATGTGGGTGACACTATGAGTCCTGCACTGCGTGACACGAACCCTAGTGATGCCACTGTATTTTGAGCTTTGAATCCCCTTTCCTCTTCTGGTGTTTGAGAGAAATAATGTTTTTTTTTTTTTCTTTCTGGCAAGGTAGAACATCTCTTGGGCTAACAGTTCATCAAACTGCACCTAGCAGTGCCAAGGGATTTTCTCAGCAAGAGCGGGTCTCCATCACTTGCCTAGGAGGACACCTGCGGCATTCACTTCAGAAGAAATCATGGACTGGGGCACTATTTGTGTGAAAATAATCATGACCGACCCTCTATATATCAGTGCATTGTGTACAATTAACAAGGGAAAGCAGGAAAGACGGCTGAAGGAGACCCATACTTTCCTGAAAGAAGACTATGTTTGGGGCAATGTCTCTCTCTGTGCCCTGACTCCAAGTGTTTCGGGAGAACGTCTTCTCACATTCAGGTTCCCGGGTGCTTCAAACAGTTTGCTGTGGGCTACTAATCAAAAGATTGGCTGTTGAAAGGTACTGAGCGGTGCAGCAGAGAATCGTAGCTATCTGCTTCCATACAAGATTACAGCCAAGAAAACCCTAGACAGCAGTTCTACTTTGTAACACATGGTTTTGACATGATTCCAAATCCAGTGGCCAACAATGAATTTTTTTAAATTCCTTTATTAGATGAGCTCTTTCTGTCTCTCGACTTTTCAAAGAGTTCCTGGAGCTTGGAGAAGAAACTCGGGGATACTAGGCGATGTGAACTGGGCACTTGGTAAACGAAGCCCCGCCAGAAAAAAAACAAACCCCAAAAGCAGATGGACAGACAGAGGAGCGTTAAGAGTAGCTGGGTGGAGGTGGTCCCAACTTGGTCGCCATCTTCTGAGTCTCCAGGCCCAGCCATTCCTCCCTCAGGGACCTGCCTCTCCCTCCCACAGCCTGGACCTTTTGCCTTCCCTTCCCCATGGGTGAGGCTGTCGCCATCTGCAGAAATGGAGCCCTCATGCCCAGTCATGTGGCCTACTGTCCTGGAAACCCGCCCTGCTCGTGTGGGTCCTGTTGATTTTTCATGGGGAACCCTCCTGAGGAGTCCCCTATGTGGGAGTGAATTCTGCAAATCCTTTGGGGAGAAGGTGGTGGTGAAGGCAGGGCTGGAGGTGATGGCGATGGGGGCAGGGGTAGGTGTGCATGAAGTTGGCAGAAAGGGAAGGAGAGCAACGAGAGGGAGGCTGGGGAGTGGCGAGTATGAGGCAGTCGATGGGTGCAAGGTCACAGGAACAGGGAGAGCCAGAGACCCCAGAAGAGACAGGGCAGGGCTGGAACTGGGCGACCTCTGGAGGCCCAAACAAAGCCTGACCGTAGTGGATGCCTGAGGACATCTGCCTTTTGTCCAATTGAACCAGAATTCTTCCATTTGGTCAGCAGGCTGGCTGGTCGTGCTGGGGACGTGGGCTTGTGACTAGGGAAGCCAGCCTACAGGAACCAATCTCTGGGAAGACCCAACTCACTCAACTGATCAGCACTCAGCCCCTCCCCACAGGACTCCTTTTGCGAGTGTGCTTTCCATGGGTGGTGGGCTAGGGGCCCTGTTCCTGTCCTTTCCATCTAGAGGGACTCGGTGTCGGTGGCTTTGTTTTGAGATAGCCTGGTGTTATGGATTTAACTGTGTCCCCCTAGAATGTTTGTCAACTTGGCTAGGCCCTGATTCCCAGTGTTGTGTGGTTTTCCTGGGATTTGTGATCTGTCCTCAGTATCCTGTGTGTTGTCAATCCTAGCCTCTGTGCTGTTAATGAGGCGGGATTACAGGCAGTTATGTCAAGGAGGCAGGAGGCAATCTACAGGGTTAGGTTGTATCTCCGGGCAATGTCTTTTGAGATAGAAAAGAGAGAAGCTAGCAGAAAGGAGAGGGACCTATGAGCACCAAGCCAGAAGAGGCAGAGGGAGTAGAAGGGAGAGTGAGGAAGGAGTGGGCTGGGCTCCCATTCGGCACCACGGTGACGCAGGGACAAGGACCACGCTGCCGAGGCGGGGGGGAGAGGACCCCGCTGCGGATGCACGTACACTCCCTGGGAGCCATGCGATTTCACTTCCTGCTGCCAGAGGACAGACGGACACTCCCCTGTGGCAGGGGCACACCGGCGGAGGCCGGTCATGCAATGGTGAACGCAAAGGAACCCACGAGGTAAACAGAGAGAGCTGACAGAGAGAGGACACCGGTTCCCCCTTTCAGCTGTAGGCTCCCTCTCCTGCTGTCTTTGTTGTGATACTTCTCAGGAGGACAATTTAATGATGTTGCAGAACTGAGACAGAGAGACAGAGAGCGAAGGAGAGAGAAAATAGGTGCTGTGAGGGGTATCTTGCCTACTGATGTACTCAAGTATGTAGAAAAGAGGTATCCGGCCTGCTTACCCAGTGCCTTGGAACAGTAGTATCAGGGGCTCCACTCTGCCAAGCTTTTCCCTGGGTGAGCCAAAATTCTATGACCAGTACCACAAGTGGCTGCTAAGTATACCAGGCCAAACAGAGGGTCTCTGGGAAATCAGCCAGGCTGGCCCCCATCTCTGCTATAGGCTCATTCATTGTGACCCTGCCCAGTCTGAAGCTCAGCCCACTGCTTCTGGAGGCTGTCTTCATGGTGATGGTAAACAAGTCTTAGCTCTG